GTATGGGGCCAGCAACACTCTATGGGATCCTTCCAGATCCTACTGGACCAATTTTTGTCACTCCACTCGAGGTTTGCGCCCTTATGCAACAATATCATATTCCCACTCCGAACTTCTTGATGGCCATCAGCACCTCCTTGACTTCGCCAATGAATTTGAAGAATCTATTATCAGCGGTGCAATGATCATCTTCATTTCGTCCGCCCATGGATTCATTCACTAACTCATATTGGCCCTGAGACTGTCAACAAAGGCCCTCCAATCTGTTCTTCTCAATGGACAATGGAACGAACAATTGGTAATCTTGGGCAAGAAATACGCCTGCATAATTCTTCAGTCTATGCTAATTTGTCTCAACGTGCCATCCGACGCTGCCAAATCAATGCTCTCAAGGCCATCATTCCCACGATCGAACCCTCAGCCAACGTACTCCCAAAAGGATCGCTGGATCTTGGGTAGGGCTATGTCTTACTCCGTCGAAGGGAGAGATCACCTCACGCAGTCCGTCCTTGTGAATCTGACGCTATCCTTCAGTACTTGGCCACCAGCGACATTCATATTCCTTCTGCTCCTCCTGTGACTAGATGGGCTCGACTGTGTCTTCCTAATGGACAGGTTGCACGATCGGCCTGGAAGGAAAATGCGATGTCAAAACAGCCAAGGATGGCACGGAATGTGAAGGTAAGTTTTTTTGATTGATTGATCGCATATATTGATTCCCATTAAAGTTGTTAATTGATGGGCATACGAGCATCGCTGAGGTCTATTTCTATTTCAATATGACAATTCACGATCAGCAGAAGACATTCGCGCTGGTGTCTGAATTCAGTCAACCACACCCGGAACTCGAACATTCTTTCCAAACAGTCTTCGCATGTCGTCATCATGGCGACAATTCATTAAAACTAATTGAAGCATCTACTATACAAGCTGTGGTCGCAATGGTTCCCCATCACTTCCCTGGAATTAATGGCACTCTCTTCTACCTTATAGAGCGCCCAGGTTTGGACTTGTTGACCATGAGTGGTGCTGGGGAAGATATACTGGACGAAGAATAAGGTATGTACAGTTGTTCCGCAAAAGAAAAGAAGCTGATCACATCATAGAGAAGTTGATTGCATCGGAAGAGAAGACACATTTTTGTCGATTAAATACTCTAACTAAGGTCTTTGAGCTCTTGCTTGATTCGATGCACTGTAAGAAAACTATTATCGGTATGTGATCGATCATACCACTTTGCATCTTCTTCTTGTGACACATACTTCCAATACAATGAGTCAGGCCCTGGGGGACTCGGAGTGTCGAAGAATCCTCTCTTTTTGGGGATGGTGATTGTGCTCTTGATCGGAGTCTTGATCTGTGGTTCTTCAACGTCATTTTCCGGCTCTGTGACGCTGCTCGGATCGTTTTTTGGAGGGGGAAGGACAGGTGGTGGATTCTTGGGTTCGCTTTCCGGCTCTGTAACACTGCTTTGATCATTTTTTGGAGGGGGAAGGACAGGTGGTGGATTCTCGGGTTTGCTTTCTGGCTCTGTAACACTGCTTGGATCGTTTTTCGGAGCTGGTGGTGCAGTTGTAGCAACACTATATCTGTTCAAGTGAAAGAGCGTGAGGGTAAAAATAAAAACTCACTGTGAGACTTGCGGTAATTCCATCAGTGATACCAGACGTGCCCGAATCCTGAGGGCATGGGAAGAAGGCCAACATGCAGGATTGCAAAGTAGATCATCGGACAAAGTCATGACCGGGGTACTGGAGCGGGTGTCATTGGAATCATATGTATCGATACTAGATAAAGTTGTTAGATCTCAAACCGAAAACATGGGTCTGGCTCACCTGGTATCAGCTTGATAACCATCAAGATCTGGATCTGAGGACATGTCCAAAAAATCCTGGATGGCTGGTGGTAGCATAATGGTGTCTGGTAGTATTGGTAATGTGCGGACTTGGTGAGTTTCCTTTCTCAATCGGATCCAACTATACCTTTCTTATTCCTATACCACATCATGTCCATCGACAACAACTCGGACATGACAGCGATAACCCCCGCCGGATACACAGAGTTTTTAAAGACTCACATTAATTCTTCCCAGTTATTTTTCCCGTCTTTTGATACAAGTGTTTCACAACAATTGTATGCACACAGCGACACATCTGATCCAACTAGCGTGAGTTGTTCTATAATCAGAGAAATGACACACCGACTCAATATAATCTCTCTCTTCTGTTACAACAGGATGACTCCTTGTCCTTCAGGGATTCCGATAATGATGTAGTTGTGCAACTCAAATGCCAACTTATGGAACTACAACACACAGTAGCAAGTCTCCGCGCAGATTTACTTAAGGTCACGAATGAGAAAGCATGTTTGAGCTCAACCTGCCAAGCATTACAGTAAGTGCCATATCATTTCATGCGCATATATCCACTAAAAACATGCATATACTACCCATCAAAACTTGTACAGTAATGTGATTGTGAATATACGAAGCTCTGCGAGCTCTGTTGCATCAAGCTCCTCATCCTCGACCCCCTCCGATGCACCCAATACCACAGACGAACGAAAACCGTCTATCATACTGGATGGAATGACTGACGAAGAGTGCGATCGAGAACTCGACCCGACAGACTATCGATCGGTGAAGTCATGGACAAAAAAGGAGTGGCAAGAACACTTCCCACCAAGCACGTCAGCCGTACCTGGTTCTTCTTCGAAAAAATCAGCACGTGGATCCAAGCGTATGGCACAAGGTATCAATGTATCTTGTACTTACCTCCAGAACGAGGATGGCATACCTCTCTCAGCTCAGCGCGCCAAGGTAATTCAGACAACAATGTTGTCATGCTTCCGTCAGCTACATAACCAAGGACTGGCACCAGAATCGATCGGACAAGCTTCACTCGATGTCATCAAGTGGCTGGTTCACACGTTGCGGAAGGAATACTTCGAACTTCGTCTTTGTGCTGACAATTGGAAAACCACCAAGCTTATGACCGACAATTACTCCCAATGGTACAACTACCACATCAAGAAAAAGGGCAGCAAGCGCGTGAAGACTGAATCCGAAGACATGTGTTTTGAAGAAGAGAGCACCTCCGAGACGACGCCGATCATTACAAAAAGAAGTTCGCCTGATCCTGACGAGAATCATATGACAAAGCGACCACACATTGATTCCGATATGTCATCCTCCTCATCGTTGGATGAAATCGCAAGTTTTGTTTTACGTTTGTATTGCTACTAACATAATAGGTCTATACTAGCCACTAGCGTCACCCCCTTCAGCATCAAAAGAAGTCGTATGTTCTAATATTTTCATTGCTTACTGCTGACATAGTCGGTCGACAGTTAACAACACTCCCTTTGCCACCACACAATAGCACTGCACCTGACCGTGAGCCAACCCCACCACCACGAACGGACAAGGGCAAAGCAAAGGAAGTTATTACCATGGAGGTGAGTTGTTTGTGGTACATTTTGTGCTGATGCTAAATCCACGTGTCTGATTTTATAGGTTAAAAACCCTCTGTAAGTTCATTTCATCATTTAATTGTATGGTTGCAATACACTGATGCGATCATTTAACTTAGTTTTAATCTTGTTCTCAAACCTCGGCCCAGACCTATTCCACCGCAACTTCCTCCGACTTCTATCAATTCTCCACCTTCTGAATCCCACTCTGCTATGATACCGCCCTCCAACGAGAACACACCAGTCTCTGTGCCAGAGGTCCAATCGAACACCGATGCAGTTTCACTAGCTGTGAAAGTGGAACTCGTTGGAACGACTCACACTGAACAAACGAAGACCGTGATCGTGGTCGGCGACTCGAAGCCTAATAGCATTAAGAAGCGCCAGCCAAGCACCAAGCCAATGCGGGTGAGCCCAAAGATCACTGCGCGGTAAGATATTCTATTATTACCAGACCAATCAAACCTGATTCTATGATCCATATCAAACAGAAATCTGTGTGCTCTCGACTGGCAATCAAACGGCCATCAAAAGGAACCAGCGACCATTTTCGCATCTTACTGGAATGGGCTATCTAAAGCCGACAAAGAAGTGCGTCTTCTTTTGTTATATTGATATCTATCTAATACCATTTACTATTGTAGATATACAAGTGCAAGGCAGCTGTTCAGGTGAGCGCTACCCACTATATTCTATTTCACCATACTACACTAATGGCCCTGTTCTATAGCTCAAATCAGCTGCCAGTGGAGTCAGTACTACCAGCGATGATGTAGGCGTGGACGAGGAGTAGTGGATGGCGGGATGGCGGGCGGGCGGACGAGGTGCAGCGAGCAGCGATACTACATCGAATGATGGTGATACCACCCTAACCCAAGCGATACCCGTAGATAGCCTCATTTGTCCGCATTAGTTGTGTATCGATATGTTTTTGAGTCAAACCGAGTAATAATTTGTATGTAAATGTGTATCTAAAAATCTAAAGCCATCGAAAATCCCATCTAAACGCTAAAAACTTGTCTCGATGTCTATATTTTTTTATCTCAAAAAGTGACATTTTGGCAAAAGACCTCGAAACGGATTGATAAATTTCATAGGGCTTATATTTTTCGATTTGTATCTACGTATATCTGCCTCTAAATTGTCGATTTTCACTGGGGCTGAGTACTCGGTGAGTGTTGATGATGTACTATACTTATTGTGCTGTATGGTAGCTAGTACTACTTGTCATATGTATATCCTATATCTTTCATCGTAGGATGTACCGAAACAAGGGTGTCGTTATAGATCCTATACTTGCCGTGTGCCTCTCCTGTACTTTGGGTATATAGATCCTATACCTTGGTTTGTGTGCCACCGGTTTGTTGGTATTGTTGCTGTGCCGATACTTCGCTCCCAGTACGGAAATAGAGCTATTTCACATGCTCATTCAGTGCGCATCCAGGCTCTGGTCAATATTCTGAACTAGACCTCTTATGGTGACTGGATGTTGGATAATTTTCAAATAACTGTATTATTTATAAGAAATATGCTATTTATGTACAGGGTTCTAGCTTTATCATACACATCTAAATCATTTTTCGTCAATTACACAACGTGTGAATTTGACAGTTGGTGGTGTAACCTTTTTCTAAATGTACTTGATGTGGCAGTTCGAGGAGAACGTAGTGCACAAGGATCTACGCTCGGTAAAATAGCCGTCTGCACCACCTACCTCATTTGCACGATTCGAATCAACCTCCATTGATGAATTTAATTCTACGAGATACAGCCTGTATTTGGTGATTCCCTTCTCTTTACTCTGTTTCTTTCACAATTGACTCAACAATCACTCTGCACCCCATTCCATCATCCTTACCTCAAGCACAATCCCTCTCCCTCGTCGAAGTGCACACTCTTTGTTACAAGTAACATCGGTCACGTGGCCCCCCTATTATTTTCCTCTCATCCTCGCCCTCACCACCTACCGGCTCCTCCTCCTCTACCGACTTTCCGTTGACCGGATCCTCGGGACCGTTCCCGTCCCTCGCATCATCCGCCACTATGCACGTGCACTGCACGTTCCTCTTCTGATTCGACCACCAATGTGGTCCCGCACCTCTGACTCGGTCTGACTCGTGCCACCAATGTGGCTTTCCTCTTTCGGTTTCCCCTGACTGCGGATTCCCTCACGTTGTATTCTTACCGTTGGTCCGTTCCAACGTTTCTCGGTCTCATTCCACAATTCGACCATCCATCACTAATCCGGCTATGTTGCCAACGCACCTATACCATATTCGCATCCCCTTTACCCTTACCTACTGTGCGGTAGCCTTGCCCTTAACCCTCTCCACTTAGTATAAGTAGTCGGTCACCCTGTACTAGATTCTCTAACTTGAATCTACTCAATCTTCCCTGGAACATACTTCCCTCTGAAGCCCCCTCAGCTTCAGTCTCTAGTATCTTTTCTTAGTCGCTCATCGCAGCTAAGTCTACCTCGATCGACCTCATCGTTCGGACAAGACTGTCCTTACTTTGAGTGACTTCTTAGACATCCGTCTACCAAGTCACGTGACACGCGCGTACTGTGATCACTGCCGGCACGACCGTCGCCAGTATCACTTGCTATACCGGACCCTTCCGGTTACGTCACGAACGTTAGCGGACGACGCCCCTCTTAGGGCTCTGCCTAACAGATCTATTTGAGTGCATAACAAAAGATTCAAGTTCCACCTCGAAGCCCCGCCATCCGCGCGGCCCCCCATTGACCAACAGACACCACGACTACCTGGATCAGGAAGTACCCCTGGGAACGCGACCCCAACACTCCTGACTCCGAAACCGAAGAATCAGAAGCAGACCACACGTCCTCTGACGAGTTTCCCGACGAACATCTGTACGGCAACCTCAACTCGAACCCCAGAACAAGAATGTCTGGAGGCCCCACCCAAACGACGACGACCAGACCTGAGATCAAGGCTGGATCGCCCCAGAATTTCGAAGGTAGCATCGACGATGCTGCAAGATGGCTCTACTCTGTGGAGACCTACTTCTTAATCAACCCGACGATCTACGACACCGACCGAGTCAAAGTCGCTGTCGCTCTGCAATACATGACTGGAGGAGACGCACGCATCTGGGCAGACAACTTCTACCAGGAGGCCTTTTCAAAGACGCCGACGGACTTCGGCACTTTCAAGGACTTCAAAACCCAGTTCAATGCCTCCTTCCAGGCCATCGATCGACAAACCGAGGCCATGACCAAGATTCAATGCCTCGTACAGACTGGGGATGTCACACCCTACATCGCCGCCTTCAAAACCTACGCCGTCACTGCTAGCATCAAGCAGGACATCACGCTCATCCACTTCTTTGAGCGAGGTTTAAAGGCCGGCCTTCGCACCGCTATCTATGCGAAGGAGACCGTCCCCACCACCATCGACAAGTGGTACGCCTCAGCCACACAGCTTGAGTCCAACTACAAGCGTGGCAGGGCAATCACTGCCAACACCCGACCATTGCGTCCTACGGGTAACCGGCACGTCCCTAGGCCTCAGGTTCAGCACCGTGACCCTAACGCTATGGACGTGGATCGCACCCTCACACCGAAGGAGAAGCAAGACTGCTTCGACCAAGGCCTTTGCTTCAAATGCCAGAAGAAAGGTCACCGAGCGAACGACTCCCGGTTCCACCCGAAGGTGCGCCGAGGAGACAAGAACGACGAAGAAGACACTGGCAAGAAGCCAAGCAAGTCTGGCGTCCGCCAGCTTGACGAGTCTTCTGACGAGGAAGACCTGGGGGTCAACCGAGTCAACCAGAAGGATTTTTGAAACGAGGAATTGTCGAACGGTCAATTTCCTCCATCTGCGCATTGTATACTAAAGCTGTTGGGAAATCCAACGAGTTTCGTGTCCCGGTGACACTATTCTCTTCTTGCAGTGCCAAAACCGTTTCAACAACCGCCATCATCGACTCTGGGGCAGGTGGGACCTTCATTAGCTTTGACTTCGTCAAGCGAAATGGGATCCGAACCCACCTACTCAAGAAACCCTTCCGGATCACTACGGTAGATGGGAGCCAGTCCTCGGCAGGACAAGTCACCCACTACTGCATGCTATTCATTCGTCTCGACAAGAGACTTATGTATGGAAAGTTCAACATAACGAAACTTTCCAAGCGTGACGATATACTTTTTGGAAAACCATGGCTTAGCGCCATGTCCCCCGAAATCGACTGGAAGGCGAACACGATCTCCCTGCCTACGACCAAGCGGTCAAGGGAGGTGGAGAAGGAGCTCAATGCTTCACGAAAAGAGAGTGGGGCCCGACCTTACCTCTTCCGCGGCGAGAAAGCCGTACTCGAAGAACTCGACGAGGAGGATTTTACTCCCCTCAAACGACTCCCCGAAGGCACCCAGCATTGCCTAGAGGAAATCAAGAAGCGCAAGAAACGCGCCAAGAAGAAACCGGCACCACGAACGGAGCCGTTCGAAGAAATCAACTTCGACACCATGGACGACGTCTGGGTCGGACAGACCCAACCAGCGGATGAAGTTAAGGATGTTTCCACCTATCCTCTCGCTGACGATGAAATTTTAGTGGAATATGCTCCCGACGGAACCTCCGTCCGGATCATCGAGAACGTCATGTTTGACTTCCCTCTCACCCTCGACGGAACCTCCGAAAGAGAGGTCCGAAAAGCCCTGCGAAAACAGGCAAAACCTCTCAGGAACCTGTGGATCCTTGCTAGCCAGCAGGAATACACGAAAACCTCCAACAAGGCTCAAGAATTCGCCATGGAGGACGCGCAAGAGAAGAAGAAGAAATCATTCGAGGAACTGGTACCTTCCTATCTTCATGATTTCGCTGACATCTTTGCGAAGGATGGTCTCAACAAGCTCCCTCCCTCACGACCGGGGGTTGACCATAGAATCGAAACGAAAGAAGGCTTCATCCCGAAGTCTTCCAGAGCATATCCGCTCTCTCCGAAGGAAACCGACGCAGTCAAGGCCTTCCTGGACGAACATCTCGCCAAAGACTTCATCCAGCCCTCGAAGTCCCCTCAAGCTGCTGGATTCTTCTTTGTCGGCAAGAAAGATGGTTCCCTGCGGCCTTGCCAAGACTATCGGTACATCAATGAATGGACGATCAAGAACGCGTACCCCCTCCCTTTGATCCCACCCTTGCTTGCGAAACTCAACAAGGCCCAGTGGTTCACAAAGGTCGACGTACGCTCGGGATACAACAATATCCTAATACACCCCGACGACAGGTGGAAAGCCGCGTTCTCCACCTCATTTGGGCTCTTCGAGCCCAAGGTAATGTTCTTTGGATTGTGCAACTCTCCTGCGACTTTCCAAGCTTACATGAACCAGACGTTTACAGAAGAACTGAATGAAGGATGGTTAATCGTCTATATGGACGACATCCTTATCTTTTCAGATAACCTGGACGAACACCGACAACGGACACGTCGTGTCTTGGACAAACTCCGTAAGGAGTCCCTGTTCCTCAAGCCCGAGAAATGCACCTTCGACTCCCAAGAAGTCGAATATCTCGGCATGATCATTCGACCAGGACAGGTCGCCATGGACCCCGCCAAGCTGAAGGGTATCAGCGAATGGCAGCAACCCTCGTCTGTCAAGGACGTACGATCCTTCCTCGGGTTCTGCAATTTCTACCGGCACTTCATCCCCCACTACTCTGACATCGCGCGACCTCTTCTGGACCTCACCAAGAAGGAAGTCCCTTTCGCATGGTCAGACTCGACCGAAGCGTCTTTCCAGCATCTAAAGACGCTCTTCACCACGGAACC